TCGATGGGGTAATTGTAGAAGAACCTAGCTGGATGGTGAAATCATGCTGTAGAGTTGGAGTGGCAGGGAAGACAAGAAGCTCAGTCTTTGCCAGGTTGAGCTGTAGGTGATGTTCTTTCATCCATGCCGAGATGTCCACCAGGCAGCTACCGTTGGATCATCTGGTTGAAATGAGAGAGCAATGGTAGGAGAAGCCATGTTCCTGTTTGATGGGACCCAGTGATGTAGTGTATATGGAGAAGAGGAGGGGTCCAAGAACTGATCCCTGAGGAAGCCCAGTGACCAGCTGATGAGCTTTGGAGCCCGCCCCTCCCCAGGCCACCCTGAAAGACCTACCAGTGAGATAGGATTCAAACCAGCGAAGTGGAATCCCTGTGATGCCCAGTGATGAGAGAGCAGACAGGAGGCTCTGGTGATTGACAGTGTCAAAAGCAGCAGATAGATCCAGCAGAATAAGAAATGATGATTTGGAATAAGCTTTTGCCATTCGCAAGGCTCCCGTAACTGACAGTAACGCAGTCTCAGTTGAATGGCCACTCCTGAAACCTGACTGGTTAGCGTCCAGTTTGTTGTTCTGTGAAAGAAACAATGATACTTGGTTGAAAACAACTCGTTCGAGAGTTTTCGCTATGAACGGAAGGAGATAGACAGGTCTTTAGCTATCTGTAAGTGAAGTGTTTAATGTAGGTTTTTTGAGCAGTGGGGTTACCCGAGCCTGCTTGAATAAAGCGGATAACCAGGGGTTAGAAGGGGCAGCCCGTGCTGACCTGGAGGAGAGAGGACAAATATCGTCAAGACAAGAGGTTAAAGTAGAGTATTATAATAAATATATATACATATATACAGTGGGTACGGAAAGTATTCAGACCCCCTCAAATTTTTCACTCTGTTATATTGCAGCCATTTGATATATATATATATATATATATAAGGGGTGGAACGGTACACAGATGTCACGGTCCGTTGGAACGCGACTGAATTACAAAGCCTATAATTTACATAAACAATAGTTTAGCATTCAGATACATTACATAGCAAATATGGAAATATTATGGAATATTTGGATTTGTGCCGAATGAGAGAGGTAGGATACACGAGCACAAAGCTCCATTTCGCAAACAGTTGAGTGCACAAGCCTTTAAAGTATACACCTTTGTCAGTCTGTGAGAGAGATGCATTCAGAATCAGCACATGGTCAACGGTCTAGTGGGCTTTGTTTTCAAGTGCGCAACTCATGGAATACATGTATCGTTCCACCCCTAATATATATATAAATATATATATATATATATATATATATATATTTGGGATGCTCCGATCAGCATTTTTGCAGCCGATACGGCGTACCGATTTCTTGTCATGGTGATTGGCCGATACAGGTGCCGATTCTGATGCTTCAAGCTTTATATAGACCATTTCATCGGGCGAACGCGCCTGGCCCGAAGTTAACTTCTGGTCTGTGTTTGTTTATCAGTCTGGCTATGGCGCCGGCTAGAAACGCAGTTAAAGTTAAGGTGATGAGTAGACTGAAGTTGGGCTCAGGTGGTTGTGCTGTGGGATGTGTTTCCCATACATTTATTTATTTGTGGCGCTGGCCAAAATATCAAAACTGACCGATTTTCCAAAAGGCATCGTTGAATAAACATGAGCACGTACTGCACTTTTAATAGGGATGGGCGATAACTTATCATTTGCGATATACCGGTAAAAATTCTCCACACGATAAGAATTCGTCTTCCCGTGATAATAACGATAAAGTCTAGTTGTTGACATATTTCTGTGTGCGACTGTGTGGAGTGACGTGAAGGAAGGCAGACGTGAAATTGAGCAGCTCCTTCTACAATCTGGAACAGGTTTGGATAGGGCTGTACAGTGTGAGAAAAATCGGTCTGAGCCTTGAGTAAATGTACTACAGTAGCATGTGTGCGACAGTTTTATGTGTGTACGAGTCGTTTACAAACCTGTTGTCCAACAAAGATATTTTAATTTATTGACATGCTCTCCATATTAACTTCATAACATAGTCGAGTGTTTGAAATAACTTATTTTTGTAATCAGACGTGGTTTCGTATTACAGAATAAGGCAGAAATCATACTATTTTATAGCATTATATTCAGTGATAAAGTCTATGTCGATTAGCATTGCATTATAAATATACTTTATCCTTATAAAAAATACCCAAGATTGCTTGAAGAACACCGATACCATATATTTTGTGCAATCGCATGTTTATGGTCTTCAGGTTTCCTCAGTTAAAATTTCTCTATCTGCGTTTTATTCAGTTACAGCGATCACTGGATACTTCTTCCTGGAGCATTACTTCTACTACGCATATGTGGAGTTTCTGCGCAAGGGCGCCCTCCGGCTTCCAGTATGAATTAAACCGTCATTACATTAAGTGTGTACTCAGTAATGCTCACAACACCCTATTTTGGGTAAAAATAGGAAAGATAATACTTTTCTCTAAAGAAACAGGATTCCCTAAATTATCGTCATTGATATCGTTATCGCAATAAACATCAGAAATTATCGTAATATATTTTAAAGCCCATGTCGCCCATCCTTAACGTTTAAAAATCAAAACGAGGCGCAGGTGTTTTTATATCACTGTATTTCTGAAGGAAGACCATCTATAGAAAATTTTGGATGTCATTTTCATTTCATCTTGTATGTAATATCAGCGTTTGTGAGCTCAGCGCTGCATTGTGTACAGCCGTTACTGGGGAAACCTCCGTTTCTCCCGCTTTAAAGCACCTCCTGCTGGCAGAGAATTGCATTTTCAGTAAGTCCGTCTGATTTACGCAGCAAACATATTTAGCTTTTCCTATATCCACGGGTGCTGTGGATAATTCGCGGGTCGGGTAATAAAAAGTGCCTTCTGATTATTTGGGGGTGGGTCGCAGGTGGATGAAATAAATCATAAATGAGGCAAATAATAACAATTTTTTTAAATATTAATTTTTTTCATGAGGCAGACAATTTTGTGTGTGTTCATTCGCCTGATCGGGAAGTTGCAGTGACCGAAACGGTGACATTCCAGATAACGTTTGAAAGGAGTAAAGCCTGTGTTAATGCTATTGAGTAGGCTAATATGGTCAAAGAAGATATTTTGTTTTATAAATAAATTTTCATTTTAAAGCAGCCCACGATCAGCGTTTTATGTTACCGTTATACCTTACGGCTCCGATGAGTTTTTGTTCCGTCCTCCACGCTGTGACAACTCACAAAAGACTATTTTTAGCCATGCAGCATGGAGAGCCGCTTCAGAAACGCCTGTTTCTGGATTGCTGGTTGCTGGCCGGTATAAACACAAGCATTAGAGTGGCTGCGATCAGCTCCGGTGTTGTGCCGAATTCTGCACCCCTGCCAGATTATGCACCCCCTTGTTGAAGTCGCTACCTGATTGCCTAATCCTAACCCCACACCTACTACTAAATAGGGATGCGCCAATCCGATATTCATATCGGGTATCGGCTCTGATAGTGCCATTTTTCTCGGATCGGGTATCGGTCAGAGAGAGCCGATCCAAATCCGAGATTTTTATTTATTTTTTCCCCGATTGCGCGAATTATTCTGTGTTACTTCTGAAGCCATACGATAGCTTAATGTGAGCTACATATGAATATTTAAGTCCTTACATTAAAGTTCACACAAACTCTTTTCTCCGCTGTGACTGTCAATCATTCGTTCAGCCTTTAAACCCTGGTCGCGTTCGGTTACAGCAATCAGCTCGGTAAAGCTCTCTCCAAGATCATTCTGTGTTCCCATTATACTTGATTTGTAAATGCATGTCTATGATTTTGCAAAAAGGACTTTATCTTCTTGCCGGAGTTTAATGTTGTTTTGTTACTTGCTACTGGATGTCTGTGAGAACAAAACACGGGCGTAGAAAAGACTATAAATTGTTTTTAACGTGCACAGTAACTGAAATGTAAAACTGTTAAAAGAAAGGCACAATAACTGTTGCACAGATATAATACACTACGCATCAATTTCTCTTCCATTTGTGCTTTGCCGTTTTTGCGCACATTGTAAGCACTTCGTGCTCATAGACTGTCAACCCTCTATACTGCAAGTAAATCACTCGCATATGCGACTAAATCTTCACTCTGGGCGATTAAATGATGTCTAATATTAGCCAATGGCTAATAAATTCTCAGATTTTCCTCGCGAGTGTGTGAGTCGGAGGCTGAGTATATGATTAGCACAGATATATTTTCACTCACAGAACACTCTGACTGAGCACTTCAGAGTTTCACTCTCCGTCAAACGGTCTGATATTTTGTACTATTACTAATGTACTAAAACAGTGATATTAATAGACCAAATTCAATGTAAACATCATTGATGATATATACAGGCGTACAGATTCAGCCCAGAATATGAACGAAACACACAAAATTAAGTTAAGCGTTTTAGGGCCATTTTACACGGGATGTGGCAAGCGGCTGCCGCTTTCTCTCCAAGTGGAGGCGTTCTGTGCAGTCGAGGCATTGCTCGCGTCTTGGTCACGAGGCAGACGTTGCCATATTTACTGTCATCAATGTCATATTTGTATTTACTAACAACTAAATAAACCGCAACGGAAATGTTGTTTGTATTATTTGTTATTTAGCGTAGTCATATTTGTGTTATATACAGTTAACTTTGACATTTTGCACGTATTTTTATTTTTACCCGGAAAAAGCTCCGAATTTTTTATTTCTATCTCTGTATGAGATTTTTGATGGATCATACAACTCTGGAAATTCAATTACAATTCAAACGATCTTCTCCATCATGTTTTCAGCACTCTAATATGAGTTCAGTGAAATATTTAGTTTAGTGATTGAAATTCTGCTGCAGGTGCTGTATATGGATCACAAGTGTCTAACTTGCGCTTGCTCAAATATCTTTGTACTTTTTTATTTTGAGAAATGTTCTAAATATTCGTGGCTTAAAACAAATGTAAAACTTGACTGCAGTTCTAAGGATGTTTTGCCTTCCAGGCCTTCCAGTCAGCTCTAACGTCACTGAATCTGCTGTTAAAAATGAACCATCCATTCATCATATCATCATGCAAAACATACGACAAATAGCGAATTTTTCATTGTTTCTCGAAACGTCATAGCATTTCCACACGACGATGACATGACTGTGGCACCAAATCATTTATGTCCCCAAGCATCATGTACATCATCACGCGTTGACGTCATCAAATTGCGATCGGTTCATGAGATCGGCCAAGTATCGGCCGAGTCATAAAATGTGATTATCGATCTCCGGCCGATCGATCAGAGCATCCCTAATATATATATATATCTCAGGGGTGTTTCCTCTGAGGAGGCAAGGGAGGCAGTGTCTCCTCTCCTCAAAAGTGGATGAGAAAATAATCGATATTACAAAAATAAAAACGCAAATATGACTAAATATGACATTAAAAGTCTAAAAGTCACTCGTTTTTATAAAGTAACACTGTCCAACAGCGACACCCGCAGGCAAAGTTAGAGTGGAGGCTTGCCTCCCTTCGGTCCATAGACTTTCTACAGAGACCCTAAAGCGTGCCATGACTTTTCTGGAGGCTCATTGAGATGAATGGGGGAAAGTCACGTGAGAGGAGGCAATGCAGGGTTTCTGCAGTATTTTTAAGCTCAAATTTAAGACCTTTTTAAGACCTGCACAAATAAAATTAATACCATATGAGCAGGTTAGGGCAATGTCTATAGTACCATATTAAACTGTAAAATTACTGTAAAAAGCATAACTTACAGTTCAGATACAAGTTTTCACAAAAACAAAGTTTTATAAAATTATAAACTTTACATTTCAGCCTTTAAACCATTTTTAAGAAAACAGATTAGTCAAAAGTATTAATTGTTATATTAATTTAATTAATTATTAAAATAATTATTATGCTGAAGGTGAGGTGCAACTCATATTTCTTCATTGAATAAAGTAATTTGAAAACCTTTTGTGGGACATAATTTCACAAACAAAAAGTGAATCTCTTTCCCTCTCAAAATGCGCAAATGGCTTCAAATCACATCGCTTCTGTACTATAAGCGAGCTGCTCACTGCACAGTTGACACAGGAATTGTCACTTGCACAATCGCGGCAATGTTGCATCGTCACTAAAGTTTATAAATTGCATTTATTTTTGATTCTTGCCAGTGTTTAACCATCCAGGCCTCGCGTGCTCTCCTAGAGACTGTGCGCTCATGCACACTCACAGCGCGAGTACATATATACACATCATCTCACAGAAGTGAGTATACCCCTCACATTTTTGTAAATATTTTATATCTTTTCATGTGACAACACTGAAGAAATGACACTTTGCTACAATGTAAAGTAGTGAGTGTACAGCTTGTATAACAGTGTAAATTTGCTGTCCCCTCAAAATAACTCAACACACAGCCATTAATGTCTAAACCGCTGGCCACAAAAGTGAGTACACCCCTAAGTGAAAATGTCCAAATTGGGCCCAATAAGCCATTTTCTCTGTGACTGTACACTGTAACTCATTAGTGTTACAAGGTCTCATGTGTGAATGGAGAGCAGGTGTGTTAAATTTGGTGTTATTACTCTCACTCTCTCATACTGGTCACTGGAAGTTCAACATGGCACCTCATGGCAAAGAACCCGGAGGATCTGAAAAAAAGAATTGTTGCTCTACATAAAGATGGCATAGGCTATAAGAAGATTGCCAAGACCCTGAAACTGAGCTGCAGCACGCTGGCCAAGATCATACAGCGGTTTAACAGGACAGGTTCCACTCAGAACAGGCCTCGCCATGGTCGACCAAAGAAGTTGAGTGCACGTGCTCAGCGTCATATCCAGAGGTTGTGTTTGGGAAATAGACGTATGAGTGCTGCCAGCATTGCTGCAGAGGTTGAAGGGGTGGGGAGTCAGCCTGTCAGTGCTCAGACCATACGCTGCACACTGCATTAAATTGGTCTGCATGGCTGTCATCCCAGAAGGAAGTCTCTTAAGAAGCTGAGGGTAAAGGTGATGGATTGGCCAAGCATGTCTCCAGACCTAAACCTTATTGAGCATCTCAAGGTCTGAAGAGGACTTCAGTGGCAACCTGTGAAACTCTGGTGAACTCAATGCCCAAGAGGGTTAAGGCAGTGCTGGAACATAATGGTGGGCGCACAAAATATTGACACTTTGGGCCCAATTTGGACATTTTCACTTAGGGGTGTACTCACTTTTGTGGCCAGCGGTTTAGACATTAATGGCTGTGTGTGGAGTTATTTTGAGGGGACAGCAAATTTACACTGTTATACAAGCTGTACACTCGCTACTTTACATTGTAGCAAAGTGTCATTTCTTCAGTGTTGTCACATGAAAAGATCTAATAAAATATTTACAAAAATGTGAGGGGTGTACTCACTTCTGTGAGATACTGTAACTGCCTCCTCATTTTAAAACTGCATGCCACTGATATATATATTATAACCATGTATGAATGAAAAAGTATGAATGCATATTTGCCATTTTAACTGAAATTATGATTAGTGGTGGTGTTCAGACATTGCTGGTCATTAAGTTTTTCTGGAAGAAGAAAAAAGAAAGGCAAAAACCCTTAAATTAAAGCATTAAATATTTATCGTGCAGCCCTGTCTTGCTCTCCCTCTTTTTGCTTGTGTACTCACTTTTGTGGCCAGCGGTTTAGACATTAATGGCTGTGTGTGGAGTTATTTTGAGGGGACAGCAAATTTACACTGTTATACAAGCTGTACACTCGCTACTTTACATTGTAGCAAAGTGTCATTTCTTCAGTGTTGTCACATGAAAAGATCTAATAAAATATTTACAAAAATGTGAGGGGTGTACTCACTTCTGTGAGATACTGTAACTGCCTCCTCATTTTAAAACTGCATGCCACTGATATATATATTATAACCATGTATGAATGAAAAAGTATGAATGCATATTTGCCATTTTAACTGAAATTATGATTAGTGGTGGTGTTCAGACATTGTTGGTCATTAAGTTTTTCTGGAAGAAGAAAAAAGAAAGGCAAAAACCCTACCAATAATACTGATAATATAAAGATACTAATTCTACTACTGATAACAATATAAAACACACTAAGATCTGATGATCTGCTGGGTTTATGAATATTAATCATGTTGTCTACATTCGCTCAAACTGATTTACTGAAATCAAAACAGCGACTGTAATAGGTGAGCACCAGCCAACGACACTGCCGTTTGCACATTAGCTCTGCCTACTACCGAAGAAACCAGAAGTGGCTTCCACTTGTTCTTAAAGGTCCACTGAAGTGCCTTGAAACACAGAGCGTTATTCTATGTGGTGACAATTTCAACTGAAACAGGAAGACAGGGCGGAACATATCGAGCAACCCCGTTTTAAAATAGCCAATAGTGTTTAGTTTATATCTGCTCAGGGCAGAGCCATTGAGCTCGGTAAAGCCGCATTTGACAGACACAGTTTAATAGATTACCCCCTAGATTCAATATGAAACCCTTACTAAAAGAATATAGTGACCATAATCATGCTGAGGCTGTGTTTAATATTTGCCGACTCATGCATCAAATCTATGTGCTAGGGCTGCACAATAAATGGCATGCGATATTTAACGCGCATCTTGTCAGTACTGATAAGATGAGCATTAAATATTTATCGTGCAGCCCTGTCTTGCTCTCCCTCTTTTTGCTTGTGAGAGAGAAACAGTGAACGCTCTCAGCTAAGTAACAACTAGTCGGGCACCTTCACACTAGAGTTTATGGTACGCCAAATACGGTGCCCATCCATTGAGGTAAATTAAAACTGTGCTTTAAAGTGAAACAGTATTCAAAATGAATGAGGGTAAGTGAAATATTGGTGTTAAACTTACACTTAGTCTCTAACTCAAACACTGGTGAGTGAATTCTAACAAATTGTTAGCCAATGGCTAATGATAGACATTACTTGACTGTCTAGCATGGAAATTTACTTGCATATGCAAGTGTAGCACTGTAGAGGGCTGTTTAAATACTTTTTAAAAGAAAGTTACATTTTTTTGTTAATACTGTTACAAGTTTAAGCAAAAGAACCATCATACTTGAAGTCTTTACAGTCGCGATCCATCCCATTCAGCAATCCTCTGGAATTTGCTTTTGAGGCATCCCCTTCGTCTCCGACTTGCATCTCAGGACTTTTGTCTTCTTCAAATGGAGAAGTCTTTTCTTTTGAATCACCTTTCTCCCTGCCATCTGGATCTGCATCTGCTCCACCCTGGAATCACCATAAATCAAGTTAAACAAAGCCATCTCCGAGGCCAAATTACTTCAGGTTGTGTATGAATTATCTTAATCTAGTCTAATAACCCCCCTCTACAAAATACTACGTTACCCAGTAAATATTCATCCATGGCATTTAATGTTTGAACTATTATCACTATTGTGTGATGAAGTTTCTAAAATTCAGTTGATTTGACACAGAATTACCCTATTTTCAATCATTTCTATTCTTGACGGATCTTTCTTCAAAATTTTGGCAATATAACTGTTAAATGATTGATCTTGAGAGGAGACCCTAGACCAGGGCAAGTTCGGTCCTAGAGAGCCGCAGTCCTGCAGAGTTCAGCTCCAACCCTAATCAAACTAATCAATGTCTTCAGGATTACTAAGGCTATAGGCAGGTGAGTTTTGTTTTCAGGGTTGGAGTTGAACTCTGCAGGACTGCAGCTCTCTAGGACCGAACTTGTCTACCCCTGCCCTAGACATAAAATTTGACTCTCATATGTTGATACATAAAATCGGGAACTTGACAGGTGATTTTTATAAATTGTTGTTTGATCACTATTTTTCAGTTGTTTAAAAGATTAAGGCAATTATCAAAGTTTGATAAAAATGTTTCATTTTCTAATAAAAGATCATACTTTTTTTACATGATTTGTTACATTTAATCAACCCTTTGCAGATTTTGAGCCATACAAAGATAAAAAATAGAATAAAATACCAGCAGGCGATATGCATCTTCAGAGCAGGGTAGTAATTACGGGATTACGTAATCAGATTCTAAAAATTAAGTACCTGTAATTAGATTAAATTACATTCTAAAATACTCGTAATCTAAACTATTTACACAATAGCAATAAATTATTCATAATTTGCTGATTTTCCCTAATTCCTCTTTTTCACCTTTTAATGTTCCTTTCTAAAATAACCGACCGCTTGTATACACTCAAAGTCTTCCAGTTTTGTTCACATTCACACAAAGACTGGATTTACAAAAATAATTTCATGTTTAAGAAGTGTTTCAACACTGCATCAACTAATGAACACGTTAATTTTTATTTGAATTATCACTCTGTAGGTTCTTTAACCATGTATTTCTATGCCTTTAGAAGGCTTTTGTCTTTCAAACACATTAAAATGCACAAATTCATGAATTCACACTTTTTTTTCATCTGATCCTCTTTCACCTAATGTATTTACTTAAAGTACCCCTAAGATTTTAAAATAAGATTTTATTGAGTATAACATTTGCATGTTCATGGTTCTCTGATGTAGGTTATTGGCACATGACATGCAGATAAACAAAAAATATTTATATTTTTTAGTAAGTGTTTTATTTTGATTGATTTTATAATGACTTATTTTAATTTAAAATTGTTATGATTTAATTGATTATTAGTTTTTTCATTAAACTCATAAACCCCTTGCAGTTCCTTCACAAACCCTAGTCTGGGAAATCTTGATATAATATAATGTTTAATGCCGTTCATGTTGCTAATAACAATGAATGGAATATATGTTCTTAATCTTTGTATTGTTATATCAATATGGTATAAGATTAGATCAAATCTAACCTGATACATTTTTGACATGTAATTTGGAATCAGTAACAGACTACAATTTGTAAGTAATCTACCCAGCTCTGTGCATCTTTACTTTTTAAAGCCATGAAATAAAAAATGACCATATTTATTTCCTTAAAGGGAAATGACATGACATACTTTCTTCTGTGTGATTTTTATTGGCATATCTTTATATATCGTATGTAAACAATGTGTCAAATCCTAAAGGATCAATAACAATGAAAATCTACAGATAGCTCTGTTTCTGACTGCTCTTTTCTGGGGTGTGTTTGTTTGTAAACAACAGTAAGTCAGTTCACTGCCAAGTAACCTAGGCTGTCCCACCCACCCAGGGGTGGGACCAGTTACTTATTTCTATGGGGCAAAAAGGAGAAATACCCATTCCGTTTTTTTACATAAACCAAGAATTAAAGGGTTAGTTCACCCAAAAATGAAATTTCTGTCATAAATTACTCACCCTCATGTCGTTCCAAACCCGTAAGTCCTTCGTTCATCTTCGGAACACAAATTAAGATATTTTTGATGAAATCTGAGAGCTCTCTGACCCTCCATAGACAACAAGAATACTACCACGATCAAGGCACAGAAACGTAGCAAGGACACCGGTAAAATATTCCATATGTGACATTAGGGGTTCAACCGTAATTTTACAAAGCAGCGGGAATCCTTTTTGTGCGCAAAGAAAACAATAATAACAAATGATTCAACCGTTCTTCTCTCCAAGTTATCGTCTTCCGCCATTTTGGAGAGTACCCCAGAATGTAATCAGCGTTGTTTACGTTCAGTAGAAAGCGCGCATGCTGAAAGTAAACAATGCTGATTACGGTTCAGTGCGAGTAATTAATGACAGAATTTTCATTTTTGGGTGAACAAACCCTTTAAACACTCCATGTATTCTCTAGTGCAGGGGTGGCCAAAGTCGGTCCTGGAGAGCCACAGTCCTGCAGAGTTCAGCTCCAACCCTAATCAAACACACCTGAACAAGCTAATCCAGCACTAAGGGTTACAAGAAAGCTAAAGACAGGTGAGTTTTAATCCAGGTTGGAGCAAAACTCTGCAGGACTGTGACTCTCCAGGGCTGATGTTGTCCACCTCTGCACTAGTGCTTCTTTCAGATTCTTTTTATTCAATTAACTTCCACAAATTCTGTCCTGATTTTATAACATATGCTTGAGAGAAGAAAAAAAACGTGTTGTAATAAGATACCCAATGAGTGTAATAAGATAATTGACTCACATAGCCTCCGTTTCTGTAGCGACCATCCATCTTGTCTCCAGGGGAAGAACTGAGGACATACTCCACCATACTCACACCCAGACCACCCCCCTCTGAGCGAGGGGACAGTACAGAGCTTGCATCTCCGTTCCCGTTGTAGCTCTGGCCTGGTCGCCTTTGCACCATAATGGGCTGAGAAACAGAATGATCTAGAGACAGCAGAGGAAAATAATACTGCTATGACAAAAACAAAGCAGAAGACAAATAAAATACTTAAACATGCATTAAGAAAATCAAGCTAATGCTACTATAATGGAGATGTATGCAATATGGAATTTCTAGAATGATAACTACAAGTAACAATCAACAACTTTTCACAGCTGATGCAGACAATTTTATATCTTTCAATTTATTCTTTATTTTATTCTATTTACTCTTTATACTGGAGCTGCTATCTACTTAGCTACAGTCAACTGAACCGATTCTTAAATCATATTTTAATGGGTAACAAAAATTTTAAAAGTTGTGTTACAATTTATGAGATAAAGTAATCAATTTCAAAACATTGCTATCAGCAGGTGATCGTGATTAAAACAAGCACAAACAATGCAACAAATCCTGAAATACGTACATCTATTGAATATCTACCACACATGCTCCATAGCTGAATCAAATTTGTTCATAATTCATGAATTTTGCAACATTGACAGTGTTACTGAACTGAAGTGAGTCAACGTTGAATTCACTCAAAGGGTTACTCCACACCAAAATGAAAATTTTGTCATTAATCACTTACCCCCATGTCATTCCAAACCCGTAAAAGCTTCGTTTGTCTTCGGAACACAATTTAAGATATTTTGGATGAAAACCGGGAGGCTTGCGACTGACTGTCCCATTGAGTGCCAAGTATATAACACTGTCAAGGCCCAGAAAAGTATGAAAGACATCATCAAAATAGTCCATCTGCCATCAATGGTTCAATCTGAATTTTATGAAGTGACGAGAATATTTTTTGTATGCAAAGAAAACAAAAATAACGGCTTTATTCAATAATTCGTCTCCTCCGTGTCACCGTAGCACCATTTTGGAGAGTATCCACTGAACACAAACTGCATATGCTGTTCTGTGTCAGCCGCACCACACGGAGGAGACGAATTGCTGAATAAAGTCATTATTTTTGTTTTCTTTGCGTACAAATAGTATTCTTGTCGGTTCATAAAATTCAGATTGAACCATTGATGGCAGATGGACTATTTTGATGATGTCTTTCATACTTTTCTGGGCCTTGACAGTGTTATTTACTTGGCAGTCAATGGGACAGTCACAAGCCTCCCGGATTTCATCCAAAATATCTTAAATTGTGTTCCAAAGATGAACAAAACTTTTACTGGTTTGGAACGACATGGGGGTAAGTAATTAATGACAAAATTTTCATTTTCCGGTTGAGTAACCCTTTAAGCAAAATAACGAAACTTCAGCGATAGGCTGCTCTACTGTAGTAAGACTGTACTAAACTTTCATAATGAATTAACTTTACACAGTTATTAAACTGAAACAACACTGAAGAGCTAAACAACAACACTATTGTCATTGGACCTAAATTTTAGTAGTCAGTACCTATAAAGTACCAGTAAAATTCAACTTTTCTAGATACCAACTTTGGTACCACAGCAAAAACTATTATCAATTTTTTTTAACCATTTCAAAATGAAAATATAAAAATTAGTTCATTATTAATATATAATATAATTTTTATTATAAATAATGGTTAAACATTAACATGCAGCCTTCAAATGATGTTAAATAATGTAAACATCACATTATAAAGATCAAATTAAAGTAATAATTCATTACATTTAAATAGCGCTTTTCTAAGAACTCAAAGCGCTTTACATAATGAGGGGGATCTCCTCATCTACCACCAGTGTGCAGCATCCACCTGGATGATGCGATGGCAGCCATAGTGCGCCAAAACACCCACCTCACACCAGCTTATAGGTGGAGAGGAGACAGCAAAGTAATAAAATAAATAAACTAGTGGTGTCAAAATTAGTGCGTTAACGCACACGATTAATTTTTTTAAAGTGATTATTACATTTTGAATATGGATATTTTTCTTACCAAAACTCATCGATTCGCTAAAGGAGGCCTTTGTTCATATTTGATCATATTTATTCAAGCATTTAACATTTATAACTTAATTAAACGTCAGTAATGAACTGCACAAATTATAGCGATCAGGAAGAAGGTCCTCTGTCCCAAACGCGTACAGTATAGTGGATATTGTATACAACTCCCCATCAATAGTTCTATACTGCCACCTGTTGGCGCAGTTGTGCAACTTAGAGATCACGAGAAAACAACTTTTGCTATGTTGAGATCACGAGAAAAATAAGTCGTGATAACGAGAAGAAAACTTTTGTTATGTCGAGATCACGAGAAAACAAGAAGGAAAAAAATAATGCATGGCTGCTTAGAACTTCCGTATTTATTCAGTCGCAGAACGACTGAGAACGGGAGACATTTCAGACGCGCCCTCCACTGCACTTCATTATTTTATTTCCTGAATGATAACTGAATAAATGAATGTGTAATAAACAAATTAATAAATTATGTATTTTATCTTTTCCATAAATAATTCTATATACCTTATCCGAATTGTTTAAATGTGTAGAACCCAGAAAAGCTTGTTTTTCAACAACCAGTCAAAAATTACAACAGGGCATGCAAATTTGGTCTGTTTTTTGACCAGACAGGAACTGCACACAGGCTGAATGTAAATATAAGTCTCTGTAAATCCACTCTCTGACAGCAGGTGGTACTTATGGAACAGCAGAATTACAGCTGTTTCCCGTAACCTCCGTGGACAAAGCAGCATTGCGATTAAAAACACTACTTTGTTAGGTATTACATGGAGCACGGGTAAAAACAAAATGCCATTACATAATATTCATTTGTGTAATTCCCTAAGCACTCTTTTAAAACCTTGCATCTTCCCGCCATGTTATCTGCATTCTGTGGACACATGAGACTGTTACTTAATTTGCTTTATGCTGGATAGTATTTATTTATCCTCAGTTGTTCAAATCGCTGTAATCAAATAAGGTTCTAACCATGGGGAATTTTATCATGATTTATCATCAAACGCCTGCGGAACAAAAGAAAGCTTAAGGCAAGAAGTAGGACCCATGTAAATATCGGATCAGCTTTCCAGCGCTGGAGAGAACTCAAGGAGCGGAAGGCCTGCGATCGGACGCCGAGGTTGCTTTGTTTCTTCTTGATAGGCGAGTAACACCGTGTCTGCGCCACAACAACTAAAGTCTGTCTACTACACTGGACGCGACAAAACGACTGTTGAAAATCATTTGAAATTTGTGTCAATACGTCATGAATAGAACGCAGCAGCATTTTTCTGTCGGGGATTTGTCGTGTCGTGCAGCGCCGCATCCAGTGTAGACCATAGATATGTATGTGTGTATATATATATATATATATATATACACACACATCTCACTATGGTGTAGACAGTATCACTGATTTATAATGAATTCCATAGTATTTTGTCGCGACGCGCCACTCGCGTCCGGTGTACACAGAACTAATCATTGCATCCAGTGTAATACATAGATATGTATGTATATATATATATATATATATATATATATACACACACATCTCACTATGGTGTAGACAGTATCACTGATTTATAATGAATTCCATAGTATTTTGTCGCGACGCGCCACTCGCGTCCGGTGTACACAGAACTAATCATTGCCTGGGTTGCGTACGTATGTGTGGAGCGGAGCTATCAAAATAGGGGTGAGACCCTTTTATGATAGGGACGTTTTTGTTTTGGTGATTTCAACGTTCAGATTTTTTATGTAGTATCACAAAGCTAAAGTCAGACCATTTTGTTTTTGTTTCAAATTTCAAAATTTTACAAACTAAACATGTATGCAGCATCTTTGTTTGGATCATGGTTAAAATACACAGGCAAAACCTTAGTTTACTTGCATGGAGAAATCATTATTATGAGAAAATAAGTCATTATTAGGAGAAAATAAGTCATTATTACGAGAAAGTTTCTCATTATAACGAGATACTAAGTCATAATTTTGAGAAAGTGTCATTATTATGACTTACAGAATTATATTTTTTTATTCAGTGGCGGAAACGGGCTTCCATACTGTTGTGTGTACAGCGGTTACCGGGCAAAAAACCTCTATCTCTCCCGCTTTACAAGCGCCTCCTGCTGGCAGAGAATGAATTTGCATATATATGCCGCCACAAATAGAGTGTTAGGTTAAGTCATTATTATGAGAAAGTTTCTCATTATTACGAGATACTAAGTCATTATTTCGAGAAAATTTCTCATTATTACGAGAAACTAAGTCATTATTATGAGAAAATAAGTCATTATTACGAGAAAGTTTCTCATTATAACGAGATACTAAGTCATAATTTTGAGAAAGTGTCATTATTATGACTTACAGAATTATATTTTTTTATTCAGTGGCGGAAACGGGCTTCCATACTGTTGTGTGTACAGCGGTTACCGGGCAAAAAACCTCTATCTCTCCCGCTTTACAAGCGCCTCCTGCTGGCAGAGAATGAATTTGCATATATATGCCGCCACAAATAGAGTGCAAGTCTGCGGGAAACACCGCTTCTGTTATGAATATTATTCAATATTTTAATGTCGATTGAAATGAACAGTTATTGGAGTAGTTAATTGTTAGCATAAGCATGGCTAACGCTAATATAATGAGCATTAGAATGACGTTTCTTTATTAACTATTTAATGCTCCTATACTAAATGGTTAACATTATTTGTGTCATATCAGTCAGAAAAGCAGTTCTGGGCTTTTTTTTTTTTTTTAGCTAACTTAGTTGTTATTCTTGGTTGAATAACTCTAGGTTTTCAAAAGCCCTTTAAAATTAAATATGTACAAAGTTTGGATTAAATTCAAGTATAGTCAAATTTTTTAATTAGCATGTTTTTGTGTTTTGCTTTGGTACCGAAATTGGTACCGAGAACCGTGGATTTTCACTGGTATTGGTACCGAATACTGAAATTTTGGTCCCGTGACAACACTATTCATGAATATAAGATAGAAATCATGAGAAGAAAGGCTTCTAATAATCTTTCTGTTTGTGATAATTCCTTCCTACCTTAAACTTAAAGTATTATAATGGGAATATATCATCT